AAATCACAGAAAGAAGAGAATAGGAACAGAGCAAAGTTGCTATATTCGCATAGTGTGCTGGATTGTGATGATGTAATTTTATCTATGAGACCCTGGTGCATCAATGATGCAAATTGCAATATAGTGTATGATTCACTGAATAATATTCTAGTCATTTCCTTTCCAATAGTTTGCAGCCTTCAGTTCAGACAGCACATGTAAGGTAACTGCAGTCTATTTAAATTGTGCTTGGTCTATGAACTACAGAGTAGTTTATCTTTTCACATTTGCTCAGCTACTTCTACTGAAGTAAGATACTAACACTGGACACATTGTATCAAGGAAATGTTCCTTTTACAAAAGTTCTTAGTATAGGTACACTCGAAAATAACTGCAACTGATTCAGAACTTTTCCAGGAAGTACACTGCATTTATTTTGAATCCTTTATCTGTAATATCTTAATTTCCTAGTGTGTCATTTAACACTTTATTATCTAAAATTCACAGGTAATAATATGTCAAAAACAAAAATTAGCCATCTTCAAAGATAACTATACTTATTATCAACTTTATAAAACCCATGTAATAATATAGTGAAACATCCATCAAGTTATAAATTATAAGAGAAGAAAGTTCTACATTTGTAATAATTACCATATCCTAATATTTTTATGTAAATAATGATTTGCTGGGACCTTAGAGTTATCTCTTATTTGTCAACAAAAGCAAGCAGTTTAACATATTAATATAAAGCACTTAGTTCATATTTAGTTGTTGTTATTTTTGGTATGTGTAGGACTTCATTTCAGTGAACTCCTCATACTCATAGTATCAGAAGGAAAGAAAAGGGGATTGCATGAAAGAATACAGGAGGAAACAAAAGAAAACAAGAAGGAAAAAATACAGGAAACAATAAAAAAGAGAAGTTAAACGTGTTTGTCATGGTGAGATGCTCAAAGGAGATCTGGTGCAATGACCATTGCATGTTTGTTTATTAATTTACTGATTGCTTAGTTGAATCTATTTGCCTAGTAAATCATATCTATATAATAATTACTGGTTTATCTTTATAGCATACAGAGTTATGAATTCTCTCAAATATGAGACAGTTATATATATATACAATATATAAATCTACAGATTATAACAGATGTTACATATGTAACAATCCAGAGCATTTCTATCAAGTGACAAAGCAGAATTCTTCCAGAGCTGTTTCTTCAGTGCCCCAAAGCAAATAAGGCAGAATAGCATATGTTACTTTGAAAAACTAAAGCTGCAAGTTTCCTAATAAATCACAATGAACACTGTAGTTATATAATATGATAAATATTTCCATTTTTCAAGACCCAACTCTCCAGTCTTGTTCCTCAAAGAACTGTAACTGTAAATATCTAATCTTCAACATACCATATAATTTATCAATAATTATTTGTATATAGATGGTAGAGCAATGCTTTTTTATTTATACTCATAAAAATACATATTTAATTAATAACTGTCCTCAAGTTTATAACTGTTCATCAGTAAATAAAAGCAGATAACACAAACTACACACCTCATATTTATAAATTAAATGACAGAGATTTCCAAAATTGACCAGTATTTTAACTCTTTGATTATTAAAGATTAAAATATAACACGCAAACATAATATGAAACAAACTCTTCTCCTAGCCCAAATCTTTGTCTAAAGGCACAAAGAAAACTTGGGGCTTTGATTAGAAAATAACACACTCTTAAATTACTTAAGAGAAATGCTGCAAAAAAGAAGTTTGGTCCACAAACAACTTACCTACAACTACTGTAAATTTTATTAATTTTATTTCTGAAATATTTATATAATATTTTCTTCCTTGTGTTGAACGATATATCATTATAATGAAAAAAGCCTCTAATGTGATGATATCATATCTGAGTGCCTGACTTACTCATTAGAAAACCTTAATAAATGCCAATGCCTAAAATTTTAGAAAAATAGGATTAGACACTGGGGAATCAAGAGACATGACCTTGCCACCTGTTCTCTTTGTCTGCTCTAACAACTACTTGGAAACAGGTGAAATGAGGCCCAAAATCATGCCAAGCAAATCACTGAATCAAGGAAAGGTCCAATGTCACGATCCTTCTTAGAGATCTAGGCAGAGGAAGAGAAATCCCCGAAGGTATTTGGGCAGAAAACCGTGATCATAAAGTCTTCAGACAGGAACTGAAGTCTGAGGTCAGGAAAGGTAACACCCATCTGAAAGCCTATAGAGAAGGCACACTTTTCAGGCTTCCTCCTTCTTTTTGAAGAAGGAGAATTTCCAAGTTCCAGGTCAAGACCTTCTACACTCTGCATTCTTTCCTGTTTGCTCAGTCGTCTTCCTTTCCAACTCCGGAGCTCACTGTTCTCTTTCTTGGCACTGTGGACCAGTAGTTTCAAACCTTTGCCATGAACCCAACGTCCTGACTCCATGAAAAAAATCGCCCCTTGTCTCTCTTTCTTTGCTTTACACCCTTCTACACATTTTTCATGACATCTTTTCCAATTTTTAGTGTTGAGAGAAACTTTTACTTTTATGCACTCTGTAAATTCTCATAGTCTGCAACAATTGATCTGCTTTTTACAATATTATATGTTTATCATTTCTCAGGCTTATTTCATTAATCTGAATATTTTAGAGTTATGTCTTCGTGCCTCCATATACTTGCTTTCAGTTTTTCTTCCATTTCTAAGCCTCTATCTTATTTTCAGTTTCCAAGTTCATTTCAAGTACCAGACCTTCTCATTATGTCATATGCTGTCTATATACATTTGGAGATTAAATACTGAAGTAACTTCTCCTTGTTATCTTTTATATGAATTTGTAAAATTCTCTGTAAAATCTTTTGACTATACTAGATCTTTGATTCTTGAGTGAATACACTACATGCATAAGCAAAATTCTCAAAAGTAAAAAGTGTATCATATCACAAATGTCTTCAAATTTGAACTTTGTTAAGTGGTAGATCTAAACAATTTAATGAATAAAAGCAAACAGAAAGTAATCAAGATAATCCAATCAAAATCTTGCAGACTTACACAAATTTAACATTGAGAAAAACAAACAATTTTGGCATATTATCATGAAGAATGGCTTTATATTAGAAGGCAGCTTTAATTAAATTTCTGCAATACCAAATATAAACAAGGTGGAATTATTCCTTCTCTCTGGGAGTTATAAATAATGAAAATGGTATTTGGGTTCATGAACTCTCACAAGACAAGATGAAATTTGATAAGCAGTGGATATCCTTATTCCAGTGGTTCTCCACTTTCCTAATGCTTCTACCCTTTAATATGCTCCCTCACGTTGTGGTGACTCCCAACTATAAAATTAATTTGTTGCTACTTCATAACTATAATTTTTCTGTTATGACTTGTAATGCAAGTATTTTGGAGCTAGAGGTTTGCCAATGGGTTTGCGAAAAACAGGTTGAGAATCACAGTCTTAACAGGAAGGGTAATTAATCTAGCAATCTGGTTGCCCCTTTTTCTTTGTTGACCCGTTACAATTGAATTCATTTGAAGACCTTTCTCTGGAATACTCCTCCCATTCTCAGATGTCATGGGTTTCAGAAGGCCCGGACTACTTCCTACTTCTGGACTACTTATGATCTATAAAGATTATTTCTTAATTTCCCATATATTGTAAGGCAGGGATATTTGTATAAAAATTTTATTCGCAACAATTACTTGTTGGTTCTTTTTCATTTCTATGAATAAATTCATGAATGAAATATAGTAATGAAACAGACGAGAATAGAAGACTTTCATATAATGAGATTCGGAGTTAGGAATAAAATAAATCAAGCACGCCAGGAACACATCTGGGAAAGAAAAAGGGAGACATTACAGAACACCAGGTGATGGTAGTCTGGATGCCTCTGGATAAATCATGATAAAGAGGAGACACTAGTGATTTGTTTGAACTGATGTGAAGCAGTATAATGGGAAGAGAGAGGAAGATGCCACCTCAGTCATACGGATTTAACAAGCAAATTCACAGTCTCCTCTGATTCGTAAGTGTGGAGACCCCAGAATGTCTTTTAACTCAGGAATAATGCCTCTGTCACGTATCTATAAATAGACTAAGCTATTGTCTTAGTTTTAAATTTACTTAAAACATCATTCTTCGTAAAACAATAAAATAGAATAAGATAAAATAAAAAGGGATAATCACAATAATAATTTTAAAGTCTGTATATGATGATATTTTCTTGTTTATAAAAACTGCAAATTTGTGTAATGCTTAAAGTTAATTTTAGATACAGAGTTAGAGAAAGAGAACTTTATTTTCCTCTTCTTACACTTATTTTTTACTTCAAATTAGATTATAATTCTTAAATCTAATCTTAATTAAAAAGAAATGACAACTATCTAAATGGCTAAAAAAAGAAACCACAGGAAAAAAAAACTACTATGCTAAACAACCACCAAAATTTATAGGACAGTTGTTTCTTCTAAAAAAAAAATACAATCAGTACATACAATAAGACTATGTTATAAATTAAATTATAAAGAAAACAACTGAGGACAAATGGCATCTGGCATTTTACATATGGTCATATGTGTTGTAAAGTTGAAAATATTTTCAAGACCTTACTTTCCCCCAAGGATTTCATTTAAATAATGAATTTTCCCAAAGATTTCATGGAGTTCTGTATGTAGAGAGGTCTTCTCAACTGTACCAGCAACGCAAAGCCATGGTCCAGCAATAACTGTGAATCTTCACAATTTGTATTTTAATTCTGAATAGCACCATTTTATTTCCTATATAATTTGCCATTATTGAATGAATCACTCCTTTGTTGAAGCCTTTCCTCAGAATTTCCCAGGAAAAGAATTGGGCAGAAATTAATTTCCTATTTGTGAAACTTCTTAGAATTTATGTGAAGCCTTTGTCTGAAAGCAAACCACAAAATTAGCATTTCACTTAGCAGTGAGTTTAAATAGCTGTGAAGCCCAGTCGCAGCCATCATCTTGATCATCTCCAGCTTTCTTCTTCCCTCTCTCGGGCACAAGGTATTGTGTTAAGAAAACTGCTAAGATTCTACACAGCTAACCTCTTCCACTCAATTAAAATGTATTTTCAATGTTTTCTGTATTTATAAAATATCGGTACTTTGTTACAATATGCCAAGAGCTTAAAATTGCACTTGTAAATTTTCATATCTTCTTAGCGATGAAGGAGAAAGAGTCTTAGAGCTATATAAATCAATTTACCTTTGCTAATTTTTGTAACTAAACATATTGCTTACTAAAATGATACATAATTTTCATATTCTCTAAAGATAAGAAAATTTTAATTATTTTATCTAGTTCAATGGAAGTTATCATGCAAAGTATTTTCTGATCTCTATGAATATAATAGCAAAGATCCTTTTAACAGGGTCTTTCAGGACATCTTTTATCTGTGCCATTTGGCTAATAAACATGTGGCTATGCTAATGATATGGATTTATAAACTACTTCTTTTGTGCAGATTTTTGCACTTAGAACCTTGGAAAACCATAAAAACATTCATGATAAGTTAGATAGTATTTAAAAATGTTTCTTCTTTCCTAGAGCTGTTTTAGATTCTTCTTATATCAGTGTTAGTTTGTTGACAGTTTTAAAACATAAAAGAATTACATGTACAATGGGATTTTGTTTTTTCTTGTGTTTTTTTTGTTTGTTTGTTTGTTTAGTATTTTTTTCTTTTGCAAAACAGGGTTTCTCTGTACTGCCCTGGCCCTTCTGGTATTCATTCTGCAGACCAGGCTGGCCCCGAATTCAGAGATCCACCTGTCTCTGCCTTCCAATTACTGGGATTAAAGCCATGCACAACCACTGCTTGGCTATTATTTTCACATTAAGTTTTTTTTTTCATTGATTTTTTTCAATGTAAGTGAATATGACTATCTCTTATTTTGTGCAATTTCCTGGAATTCTAGAACTGAAACACATAAATACATAGGAAACTAATGACATCCAACTGAGTCATTGTCATACAGGGATGTGGCTAGCTTGAGGAGGAAAGTCATGATGTGAGAACCAATAATTTTTAATTTAATTACAGGAGGTCAGTAATATTAGTCAAGAGAATATCCACAAAATTTGAAAACATAAAATGCTTTCAAATTAATTTATAGGAAAGATAATTTTTTTCAAAGAATTTCAATTGAAAATTCCCATTGGGTTTTATTTATTTTGTACACCTTGCAAAGGTGATGATTTAAGAAGAATTATTCTTTGTAATTATTTTTAAAGACTGATGATTTTTTCTCTCTTAAAGAATATCATATTAAATGTAAAATTATTTTTAGACATTAAATAAAATTGATGGGAAAATATTATAATATAAGAACTAAGAAAGAACAGGCAAGATGGTTCAACATATCTAAACACTTGCCATGGAGCCTGGCATTTGAGTTCCTCCCCAAAGCTCCAATGGTAGAAGAAAAGAACGGACTTTGAATTTTGAACTCACAAATTGTGCTCTGATCTATATACATGCATGCAGTGGCAATATGGCTTCAGAGAGGAAGGATTGGAGGGAGAAAATAAATGAATGAAAAGTTAGTTCAAGACCAGCCTGGTCTACAAGAGCTAGTTCCAGGATAGGCTCGAAAACCACAGAAAAACCCGGTTTTAAAAAAACAAAAAAAAAAAAAAAAAAAAAAAAAGTTAGAACTAACATAACAGAAATGGTAAAAAAAAAACTTATTATTTACATAACCAAACATCTTGTGTTTAAAACTACTACTTCTCAAAAGAATTTATCTTTAGCATCGTCAAGGAAAGATGTATGGTCAAGGAAAGATGTATGAAGATAAGATCTAACATCTTACTCTTTTTCATAAATAGGACTCAGCAACCATGAAACTCCTCATCCTCACCTGCCTCATGGCTGCTGCTCTTGCTATGCCTGTAAGTACAATGGAAAAAAGTTCTATCCTCTTGTTAGAAATGATCCACCAGCTGCTCATACCTGAGTGGCTGCAGTAATAACGCTAAGCCTTTGATGATAGCTACCTAACAACGCAGTCAAAATTAGAAATCCTCCCAAAACCCTTCCAAATTCAGAACTCCAAGTCACTTGACCTTTTAGAAATTAAATAAACCCACAATGAAAATCACAAATAAAAGTGAGAAAAAAAATAAAATATTGCATAACACTATAAAAACATAATAGGATGTAGCAGGGCTCATTTCTCCAGTACACCATAGAATAATAAGTGTCCTACTCAGTATGCCACAGGCATATGATAATTCTTTATCATGTATAACTAACAGTCTTATATTCCGTAGTATTCTACATAGTTAGATACTTACTTTGGGTGCCTTGTATCCGCTTGACTTCCCAAGAAATAGAAAATTCATATACCAAAGAAAACAGTGTGGTGTCTACTTGTATATGGTAACATTTTAATTAAATTTTATTATTATCTTATCAATCAAAATGCAGATTTAAATAATTCTGTAATATAATTGATGATAAAACGCAATCATGACAAAACTTAGCATGTAGTTAGGTTACTATACACTTCCCACCCAATTGGTATGTTTTAAAATTATTTTCAAAATTCTCATGAAATATAAACTGTCCAGAGAAATAAATGATCATTTTGAAACTGTTAAAAAACTAACTAAAGAGTTTTACTTCTCAGGCATTTCACATGGTTTTCTTAATTTTCTGTCATAATCTAAAGAAAACAGAAACTGTTTTTTTATATCTGCCAATAAAATAATTATTTCTTTTTATTCCCAGAGCAACAGTTTCTGACAATTTTTAATATTATTGTTAAAGATTTTTCTTAAATAGCAATTTCAAGTAAATGGTATTATATGTGCATTATTATTGATATCTTGATTAATTTTAGCCTTATTTATGTTATTAATTTTCTGTTACATTTCAGAAACTTCATCACAGAAATGCAGTAAACATTCAAGTAAGTACTGTACTCTTTTTTTCTAGAACTTTCTCTAATCAGGGACTTACTTGATGATGCACTGCCAGCAAAAAGACCCAAACTCTGACTTTCTTTCTCTAAGAAATAGCTCCTTTTACCTTTACTGGGGAGTATCTTATCCAAAAGAAATGTTAGCAGATGCAAGATTAGTTATTCGTACAAAACTTTCTATAAAAGTGCACATGGGGCCAATGAAATGCGTCAGTGGGTAAATGGCAGCGCGGGCAGCGCGTGCGAGTCTGATGTCGTAGTAAGTCCCTAGAACTCAAACTGGAAGGGGAAAAAAAAAACAACTTTCAACCTTTACGGTTGTTCTTTGGCCTCTATATATGTACCTTGGCATAAACATGGCTACACACACACACACACACACACACACACACACACACACACACACAACGTATCATTTTGTTCACAGGAAATAGCAAAACAGACTATGTTAATATTTTAATGTATTCTGGCTTTTACTTTTCCATTTAATTCTTGTGGCTTTTAATTTGTTCTAATTTTATGTAATGAATCATGAATTAATTAACTATACCACACTCACTACAACAGGCATTAATCCTCCACTCTTTCCAGTGTATGAACTAATGTCATGTTATCACTTATTCTCTGCAGAATCAATACCAGGACAGCTCTGAGGTAAGTTACCTGTGTAGGGAGTTGTGTCTATGTTCTGCTGGTCTCTTCAGTTGGTTATGACGAATGTGGAATGCCTTCTACACACTGATTTTTGTATATCTTCAAAAGTATCTAAGTGTTCAGATACCTGGACTGCCCTCTCAATCCTGTTTTGATTCAATGCATATGTAAAGTCTTTGCTGGACAAGTTGGAAAACATGCTTAACAGATCAAGCTTGGAAAATAAAGGAGCCAGTTAGGGTGTCTCTTTTAGATTTTTGATTTAGTCCATGAAACTAAAACTACAGATTTATCTTCCACCTAAGAATCTACCGATTTACGGAATTAAATTAAACACTTGGGCTCCTGCGGCAAAGAGTTCATTTTTGTGCATTTACAGTCATTCTCCATATATAAATGAAATAATATGTTTCGTCACATGTGTACTTTCAGGGATCAGCTTATCATTTTATAATCTGAATTTAATTTCAACAGGAACAACAGGAGTCTGTCAAACTGCCTATTTATCTCAAGTTCACTGAGGTAAGTGTGACCAATTCTTAACAAGCAAATGCATTCTTAGAGGAAAACTCATTCTTTTTAGGCCAACATACAGGCGGAGGATGCAAATATGGCATTTCCATGCATGCTTCACCATACTTTGGTATCAATAAATAGATAAACAAAGTACAGTATGCTTGCAAAAGTGTCTTAACTTGAGTGGATAGTCCTTTTCATTCATTAAAAAGTAGATTTTAATTTTAATTTCTATCTAAAATTTTGCTTCTGACTACACCCCTGTCTTTTCTTTCAATGATCTATTTAGCAGCACAAGGTGTCATGCTCACAATGTATTCTGTGCTACAGTTCTCTACAAAGTTGTTTGTTGAAAAAGAATATCAAATTTTGAAGGAAGACAATTATTTATTTAAAAGATTTGATGGCTAACCCAATTTTGTCTGAATGAATTTTAACATAAATATTTTAATTCTTTTTTTAAAAAAATATTTTAATTCTTGCCCTTATTTTGATATTTTAATAGACCATTTCCCCCTTCTCTTTTCTCTCTTTGAAACTTCCCAAATAGCTATTCTTGCTCTTCTTTCTTTCTTTCTTTCTTTCTTTCTTTCTTTCTTTCTTTCTTTCTTTCTTTCTTTCTATTAATTGGTACACACACACACACACACACACACACAAACATGCATTACCAAATACATAAATACACCATATTCAATCTGCATATATTATATGTATGTGTTCAAGGCTGACCATTTGGTGTTGGATAACCAATTGGTATCCTCTTCCATAGGGAAGATTATTCCTCATGCTGTCAGCACTCCGTAACTATCTGTAGTTCTTGGTGTTGCAGATCCTGGACTTTTCACTGCCCACTTTAGCAAGTCTATCATCAGAAGCTGAACCAAAAGGTCTTATTAACCTGACATCCTAAACACGAGCTGAACAAAGACAACATAACTTTGTTTTAAGACTAATTAGCACACTTAAGACAGAATGACTCCATGGGGTATAGAGTTTTAAAAAAGCTACTCAAATGTTAAAATTAATAGATCACAGAACTGATCATTAACGGAAATGATTAGCAAATACAACAAAAATCAGGTAAAATAAATCTGAAAGTATTTTAAGAACGCATTTACTGACAGAGTACACAAAGATAACACAGCAAAGAAACACTTAAGTTTAGAATTGATGTAACAAGAACAATGGGATATTAATGGAAAATAGATTTAATTTTAAATTCACAACAGGAAGGGATGACGTCAATTTGATTACTGATTCATATTATCTATGTCCTTTATAACTAATACTGTTTTTATTTCTTTTATAACCATAAGAAATTCTTCAATGACCTGAACAAAGTAAGAAACATTCTAAGAAATTTCAACTATTATTAAATTCTGTGGTTTAAATATGTGTTACACGAGTTATATTTTGCTTTTTCAGCAGAGAGCTATTCTGACAGAACAGAGTGATGAAATCAAGGTACTAATGCTTTCCATAAAATAATGTGACAGATAAACACCTCCACACAGCACGAAAATACTTTTATTTGGACTGCCTAGGCCCTTATCTTTTACTTGACCTCTCAATAACACATTCGAAATGACTAATGGATTCTAGTGATATTCAAAGGCCTTCTAATTGAATGGACTTCCATGAACAATGTGATGAAGTATGATATACATATACCTCAATGATTAAACAAATAAATGCAATTACAGTCTGGTCCATGGTTTGCATAGACTATGAAGGCTGAAGAAATGCATTGTCAGGGCTGATTCAAAAGCATTGCAAGTGGCCCCAAAACACTTTACTTCACACCACTAATCTTCCACTAATCACATTTGAACTTGATTGATTAATACTTTTTTAAAAACTCAATATTAAAAGAGTTTGTAGTTCTCAAAATTCATAGAAGCAATAAAGTGCATCTTTTACAGACTATTTAATGACTGAAACCTTTTCTTACAGCAAACTATGAATGAACCAACTGAGGTAATGGCCTTTGCTTTAAAAAATACTTCACTGGGTATGGGGAGGGGGCAACATTCTTTGTAGTTATCGTACATAAATTAGAGAATAATTCTGAGCATTCAATGACGAATATCTCTAATTGCTAGAAAAAAAGACATGGGTATGTGTTTGCTGAAATTAAGTAGATGGCACACTAACACTGATATTTTGAACTTCAGTCCTAGGGTGTTATCTTTCTACTACTGTGATGCTAAACATGGGTGCAGGATATTAAGCACAAAAGAATTATTTCTTAAATATATATGCACACTTGAGGCATTCTACTCTGGCACAGTTTTATCTATTGCATGCTTCTTAGACAGTGTTTCTGCTCAATGGCCAGAAACTAAGTTAAAAGAAAACAAAAAGTTGCACTATCATTCCTGATGTGAAAGAACTCGCTCAAGGATTTTAATTAATCTTGGAAATGCAAATTAGGAAAGTGAATACTTGAGTTTGACAATTTTTGTTTGTTTTCCTCAATTCTTAGATATTCTCCAAATGTCTATTTTTTCTAGCATCTATTTGAGTTGCTACTGATTAGTTTTATATCTCAGTGTTTGTCATGAAAAATAAGAAAAATTTTTTTTCTCATTTCATTTCCTTAGGAACAAGCAATGGCAAGCGCTCAGGTGAGCAGCTGTTTTGTAAAAACTAAGCAATTGTGCACCATGTGCATGTGTGCACTCTGCTTCGTTTTCAGAAACCTTACTTATGCTGAGCTCTCTGGGAAAATGAATCTCAAAGGATTTTCTTTCTTGAAGTTCTCAGAATTGTGTGCAATTTTGTGAATAAAGTATGCAAATGTGTTCCAGTTAGAACTGGGAGTAGAAATTTAAGTCATTTAGATAATAGTAAAATAAAAGGTTTGCTTGTTGATTAGAATAAAAACTAAAAAGAAAAATGTACATCAAAGGTAGACATTGCAGTGGAATACCTTGCTGACATTTGGACCTAAGAACTTCCTTTTCTACTCCTGAGTACAGTGCTAAAACAGATGACCCCACATTGACCGATGCGCTATGCTGCCCAATGATACTGCATTGGTCAGTTACATATATAGTCAATTAACTATCTCCAGACACAATAATCAGCAGAATAGTAAAACCAATCTTTTAAAAATGTATGACTGGAGATGAAACTACAAAGGTATATATTTGCGTGAATTGGAAGAGAGAGTAAACATTTCAAAGGGTGTATGATTTGATACCGAATCTAATTTTTATCCCCACAGTGAAAGTGTTATTTTCAGTATTTTCTGTTTATTCACATTAACTAGTCCCAAAGTATGTGAGAATTAACACTGACCCTACGGTCTTTGATAACCTTGCGCAATAGCTATTCCGTTAGCTTTTTATTTTATCAGGAGTTTTCATCAATTTTGCATTAATACAAGGGCACAGTTGTTTTTGTTTTAATAGATAAAAGGCACTATTTAAGGGCTTTCTTCACTTTCTTCCCACATTGTTGGGGTTTCCTGCACATAATTTTCAAGTAAAATTGATGACAAAATATATTATAGTAGCCACAAATCTTTTCACATAGTTCCTTTCAACACTAAAATGACCCTTTCAGTGCCATGGGACTGTTTTCTTCACATTTTGAAACTTGCAGGAGGTCGCAACTCTCATTTTCCTCCTCTTAGCAGGCAGTCGCCAGCGCCAGCTCATCAAGCGAGGTAAAGGGTTTTGTTTTCACTCCAAGCTGCGGTACCTTGGGAGACATTTGTGAAGACCTGTAGAACTATACAAAATTACAACATGAGACCTCCTTGCCTGAGATTCTATGTGCGTGACACTATATTTTAGAACGCAGTTATCATCCTTAAAAAGGAGAAAGCAACTGCTGGGCCAAAGATGAATTTAAAGAGTTATTCCTGGGCAAACAATCCTATCTGGCCATGTGTGTAGTCCCCCTGCTCGATTGTTTATCTTTACATTTAATTTCTTTCTTCATCGTCCTCAGATTTTTTTTAAATAGAACTTGAGGCTATGAAATTATCTCTTCCAAGTGAATGATGCATGTACTTTGTATTCTGTGCGGCAGTGACTTGGATGTGGATCACCCTGGCTTTGATAATACAAGTAGTTTTCCTTCTTTTCCTCTCGCTAACCTAAAGAGAGGACAGTAGATGAGAAGATGCTGAAGCCGAAGCTTTGACTTTAAGAGTTAAAATTCCAGTTATTAAAATAAAATGTTGGAGAAGTAGGGTAGTTATGTTAATTTTTAGTTGTGTTTATTTCCATTGATCGCAACATTCTGAGTAATGTCCTAGTAAAGTTAGTAAGAAGAGAGGCAGCAGAAATGCCATGTGCAACCCAAATAAGCAGCTCCATCTCCATACCCAGGAGTTCATGGCTCAAGAACAGTCCAGAGCAGTAACTTAGTAATACGGCCTGTTTTGACTAGAATTCTTCACATGAGAATGTGTCATAACTGTAAATCCGTGTTTTCATCATTTCGTTAGGAAACTGTGAATGCTATTTCCAATGTCAATGAGGTAAGGCATATTTGCTAAATTTAACACATTTAACAATATACTATTATTAATAGTAAACAAAGTGTACAGGTAATTGAGAATATTTTTCATTTTGAACAGGAACAGCTTAAGAGACAGATCAAATGCAACCAACAATGCCAGGTAATATTTTATTCACTATAATGTTACTTCATATTCAGTTATAAAGATAATATAAATGAGTTTCATTCACATTTTTTCTTAATAAGTCATTTATTCTAGCTTTGACATTAATAATAATTAACAAATTATTGATCTGAATATCAGCATAAAATGTTTACTCCTTCTAATTTTTTGAACCAGAGTTAAAGTTTATTAACTCTCTGATATAAACATGATACTAAGAGCCAGGGGATAGAAACAGAGACTATTGTTATGTGCTGTACAGTGGATGTCAGCTTCTTAAGGTCGAGCTAAAATTAGATGTCATATACTTAATTTCTAACTACGAAAAACTTTGCATTAGTGGAGTCAATGTCAAATATTACATATTACTCCAATACAAATTTATTTCAGTCAATATACTAAAGGAGAATTATTTTTCTTCCCTAGCAAGCTACCATGGCACAGGTGAGGTTTTTTTTTTATACTAAATCTAAATTATTTTAATATTTCTTAAATACTATGACAATAAAAATTCCATGTCAATCAATATACTAAAATAGTTATTTTTTTATCTTTAGGAGGCTACTCTTGCCCAGGTAAGATTCTTAAATTAAAAATAAATTATTTTAATATTTCTCAAGTACTATGTCAATGCAAATTCTATATCAATTGATATACTAAAAAGAAATTATTTTTCTTCTATAGCAAGCTTTCCTGGCCCAGGTAAGATTCTTAAATTAAAAATAAATTATTTTAATATTTCTCAAATACTATGCCAATGAAAATTCTATACCAATTGATATACTAAAATGAAAATTATTTTTCCTTCTATAGCAAGCTTCCCTGGCCCAGGTAAGATGTTTTTACTGAATCTAAATTATTTTAATATTTATTAAACACTCCGCCAAAATGAATTCTGTCAAAAATATGCTAAAAAAAATTATTTTTTTTTCCACAGCAAGCTTCCCTGGCCCAGGTAAGATTCTTTTACTAAATCTAAATTATTCTAATATTTCTCAAATACTATGCCAATACAAATTCTATCTTAATCAATATACTAAAAGAAAAATTATTTTTCTTCCACAGCAAGCTTCCATGGCCCAGGTAAGTTTTTTTAAATGAATCTAAATTAATGTTTCTTAAATATTATGCCAATACAAATTCTACATAAATCAACATACTAAAAGACTTATTTTTCTTCCATAGCAAGCTGCCGTGGCCCAGGTAAGATTTTTTTTTACTAAATCTAGATTATTTTAATATTTCTTCAATACTATGCCAATGCAAATTCTATGTTAGTATACTAAAGGAGAATTGTTTTTCTTCCTTAGAGAGCTGCCCTGGCCCAGGTAATTTTTTTTTACTAAATCTAAATTATTTTAATATTTCTCAAGTTGTAAGCCAATATAAATTCTATGCCGATCAATATACTAAAAAGCCTACTTTTCTTCTTTAGCTGGCTTCCCTGGCCCAGGTAAGACAGTTTACTAAATCTAAATTATTTTAATGTTTCTCAAATACTATGCCAATACAAAGTCTATGTCAATCGACATACTAAAAGGAGATTTGTTTTTCTTCTTTAGCAAGTTTCCGAGGTACAGGTAAGATTATTTACCAAATTTTAAATTATTTTAATATTTCCATTATGTGTTGTGTGACAGTGATATCCATATTGTTGCTCTAGCTTTCAAGTTGATTCTGTTTGGAACAAATCTACAAAAATCTAAATATCTTATTTCACAAGTACAAATGTCAGCAGTTCTCTCAGAAATTAACTGATTGTCTTAACTATGCATGTCAGGTTAAGTAAGAAAGTTTACACATTTTAGAGGCATCTGGGTTCTGCATAGCATTTCCGTTATATTTCATAGTACTTATTGCAATCTCTATGAAAAAGACAAGCACATAGTAAGTGTGGACTATTCATAAATGAATAAAATCAGTAGACTGAAAGTCACAATTTGTTTTTCTTCTTTAGCAACCTGCCTTTGTTCAGGTGAGATAATTTATTAAATGTCAAATATTTTAGTATTTATAGTGTGGGCTACATTTTAAAACATACACTGTTTTGTTTTAAAACACAGAAACACCTTCCAAGACTGAGCCAATTCTACTACTCAAACATGGTAATATTTTACTTAACATTTACCAAAGAAAAAAATTAATGATGATTACAAATGGGTATCAGAATAAAATATCATGTTAAGGAATTGATGGGTTTGGGGCTTGTATTTCTTTCAGTGAATAAAATTTATTTACTATTTATTTTTCTAAATTTCAATAAATTTAACCATACCTGAGATTTTTTATACACTGAAAATATGAAACTTTGGATTTTTTTCAGTAATTTACATAGAATCGGTATGGTGTGTTGTAAGTTTCATGGATACTGATATAATCTCGACTCCTTGTAGTTAGCACAGTAGGATGAAGTCAGATGTCTGAGTAACCCAAAATATGTTTCCTTCTGTACAGGAGCAGCCTTACAGAATGAGCGCATACAACCAAGTCCAAATGGTAATATTGATCTGTATGATGAAATTAATACATTACTAAGATTTGCTTTAAAACTTCCACTCAGATAGATTCCTCTTTCTCTTTCTCCTGTTCCTAAATGCGTTTGTATTGGTTAACTCATTCACCATCCGTTGTGTGGTGCCTGCTCCCAGTCTACCTTGTGCATAACTCAGCTCCTGTGGGCAGCGCAGCTATAATCACAAGCATTACAAAGGGGTACTTTCTACAGTTACATTTATTCATGTCAACACCTCTTTGATTGTCACTTAACTATATGTGTACATTTCGGATTGTCAAACTGAATGTAGTTTAGGACTCTCCAGTTCGGTTTTAGTCATGTTTCCTTAATCGGGGCATGTTGAAGTTTGACTAAATTTACTGACTGACACACACTTCTTTGAAGAGACTATCTAGCTAGATTCTAGACTTCAGAGTCCAAGGGGATTGTATCAAAATCCTTCCGCTTTCTATTTTGTCATCTATGGGGTGAATTTTTCAGTCGTACAGATGCTGTCTGACCCACTCTGAATACCGCTGGTTCCATTGTGTCTCTGGGATTTAAGATAGAAGTCAGTTACTATGAAACAGCTCTTCCCTAGCAATTCTGACTCAGGAGATGCCTCGAGCCATTGCTTACCAGGCATGAAGATTTCTAACAGGACTTAGTATTTAGTGAATCAGTGATTGTTGGGAGTGCCTCTACATCTTAGAGGGAAAGAGGTCAGTGGGTAATTAAATAGCAGTTGACAAAATTAGTGACAGCTCCCGTGTCATTAACAAGAAAGGTTTCAAACAGGTTGCTTCTTCTGTGTTAATAGAGCCTAAAAGTAATTTCTATTTCCTTTTCTATTCGCAGAGACAGCCTATGAGTGTAGTGGATCAGGTAAAAAAAAAATTCTGTGTGTGTGCGTGCACGCGTACACATGTTCATGCGTATTTGTGTGTGCATGTACAATGTTGCTATCTATATAAGTCGTGTACGATGCTGATGTGTGTGTGTGTGTGTTGTGTCAATAAGTAGCATTGATTGCACCAATATTTCTTAGCTGCTGGCTACTCTTGGGTTCTCTAGTGATAGTTCCGGCCTCACTGTGGAATTTCAAATAACTTGCCAAAGGAAAATGAGAGACTAATTCTTCAGACACCTCTGAAGGGAAATAGTTTCAGTCCAACCTTTAAATCAGAAAAACCCTACTTGGTACCCTGCTTCCAAACATGGTTATGCAATAGAAACAATTTAAGTTCTCAATCTGAATACATATTGTGTCTCACTTTGGAGAAATTAATAAGACTGTCAATTTTTCATCTCTTCCAATTCCCACATCCTTTTATTTCTAGTGTCTATTTAATTCTTTATTTTTAAAAGAAGTCACTTTGTGTTCAATTTGGAGACTGTTGATCCTTGACAGTCCCACCTGTATGTATCACATAGAAAGTTTTATTATTATAAAGAAATGTAAGAAAGTGATGGAATTTTCTTTCTATGAATATGATTATGGCTAAATATTGCCTCCCAAGGTTTTAGATATTAAATCAGTTATTGATTTTGAGATGATTTGTCAGTGTGTCCCAAGTTATCTTCTTTGAGATCTTGAATTCTGCAGTTATTTTCACTGCTCAAAGTAAAAGCAAATTCAAGGCAATGATTCATTTTATTTAAAATGTGCTTAAAATATTGGCTTCGACCTTTTCTTTTACAAACAGTTTGAAACTGTACAGATAGATTTTCTTCTTTTCAAATTTAGTACAATAATTTAGTCTTTATTGGTGACTATATATAACTTATGAAGACTGTTTTTTTTCTCTCTCCCCACAAAGGAACTGGCCCAATTCTTTTCTCAGGTCAGTCGGTTTGATTATTTCATTTTATTTTATATATCAATAAAAAATAAAAATTTTCATATATAATACTTGTGTTATTATTTATAAGTGTTCACAGAAAAATTTTTAAATTTTTAATTTAAAAACCTGTTTCTAATTTTAATTCTGGTCCCATAAAATATAAATTCTACTTAGAGAGTTTTGGATATATTAGATAGAAATTTCTAAATTTCTGACTAAAATTATGTAATAGATCAATAGAAGCAGCTGTTCTAATATTTCAGAAAAGAACACAGGTTTTTTTTTTTCCCCAGACTGGTTTCTTGGGAGGTCCTGAGCTATCATTTAGAGAATTATTTTCTATATAGGAGACATTTAAGGATCAGCTATATTGACCCTGGATATAGGACCCTTCTTTGGACATTAAAGTCATTAAGGAAAGTTAAGTAGGTTTAAATTAGCAAAACTATTTTTTTTGTAGTGAAAATATCAATGAGTTGTAGTTGAGCACTAATGGAGACTCATGTTCTTATATCTTCTGGTCTGGTAATTGGATCTATATGGATAATGTTGGGCCTAGGGATTCAGTTTTGAAATGCACTTCTTAAGAAGTGAGAATGATGCCCAGCTCTATATGGACTCAAACAGCCATTGCTCACACATTTTTTGTTTTGTCTTTTTCTGCAGGTCTTTCCACAATTCTACCAGCAGTATGAGACCTATCCCTTTTGGCCTTTTATTCCACAAGACGTACAGCACATTACTCCCGAATATGTTCTTAACACTGCCAAGCCCATTGCCCCCAAAACTGCTGAAGAAACCAAAGTGTGGTGGTAAGTATACGAAAATTACTAAATGTTGATGCTATGCCAAAGGATACACAATAAAAAATATTTAGAATAAAAATGACCAGTCAGATGCTTTCTGGTATCTAAGACTCAAAGTGACCTCTCAGTAACAAGAAGAGCAGAATTCGCTATTCAATAAGTTGAGCCCACTTTAATGATGGAAGCAGAAGATTGCTGATGCACAGTAAACATTATCCTTCTTCAGTTTTCACTAATCTCTAAGCACTTTCTCTCATACACACACACACACACACACACACACACACACACACACACACATAATCAATTGAAAAGGTATGTTAAAAAAACCCACATGCATTCGTCCTGAATTCAACTTTTGGCCTTTTCCTCATTTGAAATACTATGGAAATGCTTTTCCTTATCTTTAAGGTGACCTTTTATGGTGATCCTTAAAGTAATCTTTGTTAAGCATAGTACGATGAAAACAGGGACTTAATATGTAACCATCATCTTTTTCTCATTAAAATTTTACTACTGAATAAATTCATCCACTGATGTGAACGAATTTTGTTTTTTCAGAGACATTAATTCAACCCTCAGAAACTCCACAATTACAACACTCGGTGAGTTTATAGTCTTTGTGTCTAATGCTCAGCCCTACTCCATTTGAAATTTGAATTTTCATAATTATGTACTTAAATAGTATTAGTACTTAAATGATTTAATTGCAAATAATGTTTTACTAATAAAACTTGTAATAATGGAATAGCTTATGCAAGTATGTGTGAATGTTACTACTTCTTTGTGGAATAGTGCCTCTGAGACAAAGATCCTATTTCTTATGATGCTAAAGTAGCAAGTCACACAGTAAAACTAAACATGTATTTTGATCATCTCAGCCACTCTAAGTGTGTGTATACTTGTGTGTGGTGTGAGATGTTCCTTACATTCCCCCCCCCCCCGCCATGAAAGCAATAATCATCTGACTTATGTGGCAGTCTTTTTGTGTTTGTGTGTGTGTTTGTCTGGTGGCATCTGTAATAATAACACAAAAAGTTATACATTAGTAAAAAATTATCTTTAAATCAATACAAACCAGAAGCAATGTGTGTGTTTGTGTGTGTGTGTGTATCAGTAGTAGAGAAATAAAAATGATCCCATGAGCTAGGTTGATGTAAAAAAAAAGAGTAACAAAGTATATCAAATAATAACAACTTCCCCTCAAAATGACATAATATAGCTAACCATGCATTTCCATCTCTACTTACAGATGTGACTGGAACCTCTTCACTTCTCCTCTCCATTCATCATATGGATTCATCATCTTATGCAAGGCTTAATTGCTGTTGTAGAATAGGAAACCACCGTAGAAAGGGCAATCGCTCTCGGGTTGTCTACTGCATATAGGATAGCATAGCATCCTTCCTTAAGCTTACCTTTCCTAGGAAGAGTCTGTCTAAATTCCAGTTGCATCATGTCAGTAGGGAAAACACCAAGCGGAGAGAATTGAAGTCTTTAACTAAGTTTCTATAATGGAAATTTTGCTTTAAAAGACTTTGAATTGATTCTTCTGTAAATACTATTATTTGGTGTAATTGTGTGCAGTAACTGAGATTTTCTTTCTCCTCTTTCCAATAAACTGCATTTTAAGGCACAAGTCATGTATTCCTGTCATTATTGGATATTTACATAACTGTGTGGAGTGTTTGGGTGAAATTGTGTTTAAGCTAACTTTATGCAATTTTAATGAAAATTTGTAGATATCTTTATTTCTAGCTGGAGCTGAAAGTCAAAAGATACTTGTAAGCTATCTAAAGTACCTTTAATTTAAGGTTGCTTTTTTATAGAATATCTGCCATCCAATCATAATGCATCAGTAAGTGAGTGATGGGGACACTGGGAGTTTGAATCTAGTTGTGCTTTACTTTTGCCATGTGAATACGATTGAGGCAAAGTAAAGAATATATGTGAGAAACTAAACATTAACCCTACAAGAGCAAACATATCAGTTTATTTTTTTCCTTCTTTTTTTTAAATTTATTTTTCCATTCAAAAATTTTACACTTCCTCCCCTCCTCCCATTCCCCTCCTGCTCCCCCACTCACCCTCCCCCCTCCTCTTCCTGTCGTAAAAGAGGGCAGGGAACCCTGCCCTGTGGGAAGATGAATGTGGGGGTAGGGGTAGGCCTGGGGGAAGGGGAGAGGGGGAGAGAGAAGGGAAAAGGGAAAGATTGGAGAGTGCTTGGGGGAGTGGGAAGGTGGAGATGGAGGAAGGTTAGATATAGGAGCAGGGAAGAAGATATCTACATTAAGGCAGCCATTTTAGGGTTGGCAAGAGACTTGGCTCCTGAGGGGATCCCAGGTATCCACGGGAATATCCCCAATTAGGTCCTTGGGCAGCAGAGTAGAGGGTGCCTGAACTGGCCTTGCCCCACTATCACACTGATGATTATCTCTAATATCACCAAACATATCAATTTAATCCAAGATTATTAATAGAAAAAACAGTTGTATTTGCTGCAGTCTAAACTGCAGTGCCAAACTAGGTTAAATCTGCCCATGAGACAGTTGAGTGAAGTAAAGTCTTTTTTTTTTCTGTAAGATAAAACAAATTGCTTCTTTTTCCTTACTTTTTAAAACAGCTTGAAGATTATGAACTTACAAGATTGCTTTGTGTAAGACAAATACAAGGAACGTTAAATTTTTCACACTTTAAATATCCGACATCTGTAATAAATAGCTCTCATTGCCTCCTTAGCTTTTCAAATTTCCATTGTCCTCCAAGAAACCGCAGGAAGTAGAATCTCATTATTATTATATGACTCATTAACATTTCCCTTTTCAGTTATTAACACTCTGTAGTTTGCCTAGAAATGAAAGACACCGTTAATTTACAATTTAACTATAAGAGACATGATTTCAAGTGCACCTTTTCTACCTCTTTACTCTATACATCACTGTGAATAAAGCAATCTTTTATAGCCATTCAGACCATACACTGCAACTTAGCAGCCTGGAAATTACCCAGGAATGGTTTTGTTCTTCCTAGAATTAGTGGAAACAAAATCACATGCAACTTCATCTATTACTTGACTCTAAAGAAATGGTATCACAAACCACAGCTCTTCAGAGTTTTCTCCACACTTAAGTAGAAATGGGGAAAAGCATAAATCTCAGACTCTGTAAAATGATAAAATACTTCCTTTTCCAGGTGAATACCACAAAACTCAAAGGTAGACAGCAAGCATTAAACTGAGAAATATGATCTAATTTCAGGATCATTCCTATAAGACTTGACTTCTCTACATTAAAGGGATATACACATATAACTGATTCTTATTTGGAATCTGATGTTCGGAAGTCTTGTGAGTCTTCTAATGATAGTTTCAGCTAGAATATACTCACAATTCGTGATATTCCTATAATATGTGAGTCTCCTGGTTTTTCTGCTATTCAAAGCTTTATGGAAAAACAATAGACTTTTACGCCATTCTTATGCAATGCTTGTATTGATAAAAATAGACAGAGTAGTATTTTCCAGTCCAGTTCATTTGATCATTGATGTCCTACTCTCCTAAGACCTGGAAAGTTTGCAAATTCGGGTGACATTGCATCAACTATCTATGACCTGAATGAAGCACTAATCTTAAAAAATTCTATGCATCAAGTGTGGATTTTCAATCAGTTCTAAAAGCAATAAACATGTGATTCACAGAGCAAAGGACAAAGATAGACAAAGAACTGAAGAATAAATAAAGTTTTTGTGTATTTTATTAAGGTGATAATATATTCCTCTTATGGGTTATACAGTCTCTTCTTTCTTCTATTAAAGCTGTAGCCATAGAATGCTATTTACCTAAAACCCAAGCATGGTTATTTTTAGGTGATAGGCTCATTCATCTCAATTACAGTAAAACATTGCATTCCATTGTATTAAATTTATCCAAAATAGTATTAAATCATACTTTTGTGGATTTTTGGATTGAGGGATCAAAATATATTGCTGATATCATTGGTACATGATTAAGAGTAGCATTTATCTTGGCAATTGACAATTATTCTTTGTTTTATCATATATTATAGAGGCTTCTGAAACATCTAAGTCCATCTATGTACTTACTTGGAAAACCAAGTTTTAGCAAAAAGCTTTTGTAAGTTGATCTAATAGCACCCCTGTCAGTACTTGATTAGTCTCACTATCTGATCTGATTACTTGTCTCATTATTTTAAATACTAACTGGTTATTCTGGCTTGTCCTCAGTATCATGTGAGTTTGATTCTACCAGAGTCCTTGAACTCCTGATGCTTTTTCTTAGTAAGTTGGTATGCACTCCTTCCCCTCCCAATTTCTTTGTTGTGGACAGACCTACATTTACTGAAGTCAGAATTCTATCTTTGTAAAATCTTATTGCTGTTGTTATTGTGTGTGTGTGTGTGTGTGTGTGTGTGTGTGTGTGAGAGAGAGAGAGAGAGAGAGAGAGAGAGAGAGGAGAGATGCTGAACAAACTCTTCCTTATTCTGTTTTAACAATTATTGAATATGTTATTAACACAACATGCTTATTAATGGGACCATTATTCATTGACCAATAATCAAAGTACACTATGATCATTTTTTTTTTTTTTTTGGTTTTTTGAGACAGGGTTTCTCTGTGGCTTTAGAGCCTGTTTTGGCACTAGCTCTGTAGACCAGGCTGGTCTCGAACTCACAGAGATCCGCCTGCCTCTGCCTCCCGAGTGCTGGGATTAAAGGCGTGCACCACCATCGCCCGGCTCACTATGATCATTTTTAACAAATATTAATAGAAATTTTGTATGTGCTTTGCCAATCTTCATTTAAGTCAGCATTGAGAAGCATCCTTTTACCTCTATTCATTTTGTTGTTGTTGCTTTAATTTGTTCTGATTTTATACTGTATTTCTGGACTTTGATTCTTTTCATTTTAGCCCCTCTAGTTATTATATACTGTTTTGAATTTGCATTTTCACTGAGAAATAGAGATGTGAACACCTTCCAAATTTTATTGCTCATCCAGATTTCTTTCTTGTTCTGTCTATTCAAGTATCTAAGGCTTAAATAGAATAAATTATTTTAGGAAACTCTAAGAAAGCTCATGTGTCTTAGGGTTTATATTGCTATAAAAAGAAACCGTGATTACGGAAACTCTTATAGGGAAGGCATTTAATTGAAGAAGTTTGCTTACAGTTCAAAAGTTCAGTACATTATCATCATGGAGGGGAGCATGGCAGCATGCAGGCAGATATAGTGTTAGAGCGGAGAGCTGTACATCTTGCAGGCAACAGGAAACTGACTGACAGTTACTCTGAGGAAAACTTGAACAAGAGAACCCAAAGCCGGCCCCAACAGTGACACACTTCCTCCAACAAGGCCATACTTTGTTGTTAATAGTGCTACTCTCTTTGGAGGCTATTTTCCTTCAAACCACACATCATTCAGCTGATGAATAACTTAAATATCACCATAGAACCTTCATCCAACAATTGATGAAAACAGAGGCATAGACCTGCATCAGAGCACTGGGCTGAGCTCCCAAAATCCAGTTGAAGAGTGAGAGGATTGAGAATATGAAAAAAGAGGTCAAGACCATGATGGTGATACCCACTGAAACAGTTTACCCATTTTATTTAAAACTGACCCATTCTGTTGCATAGGATGTACACTACAGCAATGGTTGTTTTACTAATCTGAATTTGGCTCTTTATACAGTTCTTATGTAAGCCATTATAAATACTGTAGATGCTTTTCACCTTCTCTTACTTGTCATTCCATGTGTTTAATGACTTCTTGTAATGAACTTTAAGTTCTTTGAAGAAATCACATAATAAATTGTTGTCTGAGTTTCTGTCCTTTCCAGTTCCTGCAATCGTTACGTCCAAAAGAAATCACATAGAGATCTACATTAGTTATAAACAGATTGGCCCATTAGCTCAGGCTTATTATTAACTCTTATAACTTATATTAGCCTATTATTCTTGTCTGTGCTAGACACATGGCTCAGTACCTTATTCAGTGAGGCAGTCACATCTTACTTCTATGACTGGGTCAGGACTGCAGACTAGGACTTCCTTCTTCCCAAAACTATCTGTTCACATTGACCCACCTCTACTTCCTGTCTGGTTGTCTCACCTATATTTCCTGCCTGGCTACTGGCCAAACAGCATTTATTTAAAATATAATGACAGAATACAGACCATTGTCTCACACCACTTCCCCCTCTTTAAAATAAAAAAAAAAAGACAAGAACTCTGAATCTAGTATCCTTTGTTTAGGTTTTCTCCTGGCCACTAGCCATAACAACTTGTTACCAATATTCTAAACAAAAAAAATATCCATAGTCCATTTTTGGGGGAATGTGGGCATAGTTTTCCAGGCTACTTCTTGCTAGTTGGGGGAGCTGATAATCTTATGGGGACCTAAAGAAAATTTAGAA